CCCCCTCTTTGCATGTATGGACTGGATGTGTTGCAAATTACTGGTGAGAATTTCAGGTCAATAGCACCTTTAGATATATCTTTATTTAGAAATTTGATGACGTGTTTGATACTTAATTTACCCACTGTATAAAAAAAATGTAAAGCTGCAAAGGATGAATCTTTTGTCTCTTAAAAAAACCTTAATATCAATAAATGAGTCTAACAACTATAGTCTCTTCAGCAGAAAATAAGTATGTACAAACACTTCTTAGATTTATAGCAGAATCAAAACAGAAAATAAATATTTAAAAAAACAAACAAATAACTCTTTAAGAATGGAAGCTTAGGAGAGGCTCATTTGTGCTAGACACATGTAATACTGCCATCTACAGCATCTGTCCAAAACTGCTCCAGTGCACATTTTACTTCAGATGAGGCAGCAGTATGTCTGCATCCTTTAAGTACACTATGTGGTCTGATACGTTGGGGTATTGTTTTTACATTAATGAGCATTCTAAATAGTTAAACATACACTGGATTACTGGAAACAGTCTTAAAATCACTTAGTTGCGGTCTCCTTTTAGTGCTGGCTGCCAGCAGTTATTCAGGGCCTGTTCAAGTTATTCAGTGTGACACTGAATTCAACTCTAAAAAGAGGATAATGGTTTCTACAAACATATGTACCATAAGTGAATTTTTCCCCTCAATGTGCTTGGGAAAGTAATTTGTAAATGTGGTGACTAAAGATCGATGTAATGATGATGATGATGTACAGATTCACAGTTGTAAACTGTGTGCTGAAGGAAATATGTTGGATTGCAAATTATACATGTATAGGTGACAGGATTCTGGATTTTGCTCATGTTTGCAAGCTAAGTATTTCTCTCCTGACCTCCTTTGTAGATAATAATGATGATTTGAACCAAACACCCAACACTCCATCAGCATTTCTGATGAGGCAGTAGATGGATCAACAGAAGATCCAGATGCATCTCTGAGAAATAATTTAATTGCATGATTTTCAGATACCGTTTATCTGCAGTAGATTAAAATTTAAGGCATTCACACCTTTTGTTCTTTACTGGTTTTATTTTCTCTGACACACCAGATGCCAAGTTATCAGCCAACAGATCACTGGGAATTACCTAGTTTGATTCCTGGTCAACCTGTGTTACTTTTTTTCATAGATTAAAGTGAAAAAATTTGAACAGGGCATCTTTTTGCAGCAGGCTGCAAGTAAGAAGGTGAGTAAAGATACAATTCATCACTTAAGGTGCCTTTTTATGCTTAAATGATTCATAGGTCGATGTTATAACAAACAATCCCCTAAAAATGGTCAGGTACAAGAATTGTACTGAAATTGAGTTAAAAGACAGCCAATGTCCATAGAAATACTTTGAAAGGCCTTCGGAAAGCCTGGAGAGCTATTGCTGAATACAAAGAAAGTCTGTGTGCGTGGAGTAAAATATCGACAAATTAGGGGCAACTCGCGACTTATGCACAGTACAAGGCATCAGTATCGTAAATTTAATTAAATATTTAATATTAACTATTATTATTTCTCTACCGATTAAAGTGCTTCACGTCACCTGCTTTTAAGCAATGAGCAGCCAAGATCTTGGAGAGATGCACAGGGGTGCGTCTCTCGCCCTCTCTGTCAAACCAATAAATGGCAGGCACATTTAAAAAACCAGCTTCAGTCACGCCCACCGGTTAGTCTGCCTGCCTGCTAACGTTACCAACAGTCGGTGTACTATACCAAATAACCACAGTTGCCGCGTACTAACGGGGCAATTTAAGTAGCAGCATTTTGTATTTTGTGCACTAACAACCCTGATAATGTGCTAATGCTCCCGGATGAGTTTGGTCGTCAGCGCTAGAAAGTTAACCGCTTTGTATTTTTCATCTCTGCACATTTTAGCAGTTGAATCTTACACAAAAAACCCTTAACAGCTAGTTTGTAAATTATTTTCTTCTTTTTAACGCAAGTCGCTTTAGGCAAACATTTAGCGCGGCTAAGCGCGCTAATGTCTAGCTAGCGTTAACCGAAGTGTTTAGAAGCGGTCACGTTTCATTAGTCTTCCTATCAGTTTGTTGACTTTTATATAAGTCCAATATATTGGGGGGGAAAATTCACCAACCACCATAATACAAGTTTGCTCTGGTTATCATCACCACTACCTTAGTCGTCGTCTTTGTCGTGCTAACAAACATTACCTTACGAGATTTCGCGGAATCCTGCGTTCAACTCTTCGGTAGTGGACGTTTCTAAGACAACCACCTCAAATTTATACACCTCTGCTCAAGACTCCAGACTTGATTGGCCTACATTCTACCTACCTACCCGTGTTTTTCTTTGAAAGAGTTTTAAAAAATGACAATAAAATCACCATCACACAGCCTCCTGCAAAGTGTTTAGCTAACTGTTTTTCTCTTTAAACCATGAGTTACAGATTTATGTTGAGCGTTCCCAACAAAATGGTAACTCGATAGCATCCCAGTACATTATCGGTTGCTTCCACTGAGCAACTCCTGCAAATAATAATGCCACTCGCCTGGTTTGTGAGCCTGCGAAAGCAGGCTGCGGACTTGTGGTAACTGTGGGGGGAAACGTGCCTGTGGCTCACCGGGAACACAAAACTGGGATCTGGGCGGAGCGATGAGTTTACGGGCTGACTCAGAAACGGAAAATTTGCATTCATTAAACAGAACTAAGCTACAAAACAATTCTCAGCAGCGAACATCCCTTGTGTTACGTCTAGTTGATTTATTAAGCGATTTTGTCTATCGTCTTCGTGTTTTTTTTTAAGTATATTTATAAGGAAACAACTTGAATTACGCGCCTTTACTCAAAGTTTTCATTTAATTTTTTTGTACTTTTGAAAATGCAACGAGACATTATAATTTCTAATCAATAGTAAACAGTTTTAAGGGTTTTTCTTAGTTGTGAAAGGAAAGTGGAAAATTTAGAGGGCTTGAGGTAAATGTGACTTTTACAAGGATCACCTGAAGCAGACATACCTTTACTTCCTGCGAAATAGAAACAGGCCTTGAATTTAAGTTGAAATTGAGTTAACATTTAAAAATAACAAAATTGGTGTTATTAAGTACGAACAATTTTAGAACAAGGCTTCAATGAGTTTGAGTGTGTCTATGCAGTGACAACAAAAATTGCTAGGACTGGGTTAAATTTCTTCATTGTGTAATGCTATTTAATACAAATTTGTCCAGAATTCACCAAACACCCCCCTTTAAATATTTCCAATCTTGAGTTTAAAATGAGTTTTGTGCCAAATGAAATGCTGCAATCTAATTACCCCTATTAAAAGGTGGAGGCTGTAGGCTACTATACCACAAGTGGATTGCTGCTTCTTTGGTGGAATTTCTTCTTCCTGCTGCTGCTTTTTTTTAATTAAAGGAGAACTTTGCTCTTTTAATTCAAGTGGTGCATGTTTTAAAATTTCAATTATTTCATTAATTAATTTAGTGGCAATATTATTTCTAATCGTTATTTTCCTTATTATTGAACTTGAATGGTCAACTCAGTGCTTTTAGGTATGTAGACATGGTGAAGATGACGTGCTGAAGTTCAAACTGAGCATCAGAATGGGGAAGAAAGGTGATTTAAGTGACTTTAAACATGCATGATTGTTGGTATCAGACAGGCTGGTTTTGAGTATTTCACAATCTGTTGATCTACTTTGATTTTTGCTCTAGGATTTACAGAGAATGGTCCAGAAATGTCAAGTGAGCAGCAGTTTTCTGGTTGAAAATACCTTATTAATGTCTGAGGTCAGAGAAGAATGGCCAGACTGCTTTATGCCTATATAAAACAGAGGAGCTACATTAGCAAAGTTCAAACTGGGTGCCACTCCTGTCATCTAAGAAAAAGAAATTAAGGCTCCTGTTTAAACAGGCTCCACAAAAACTGGACAGAAGATTGTAGATCAGCATTGTTTTGCTTTGTTTTATTACATTTTGTAGTTTTTTACTGCCTTTGGCATTGTAAACCTACCACCGCTTTTTAAGTTCTTCCATGTTAAGTACATTAAGTTTGCTTCTAATGAAATCTGATATATAGAAAAAATTGCCACTGTGATTAGAAAATTGTGAAAAAGTTACCTGGTCTAATGAGTTCCAATTTGTAGTGGAATATTCGGATGGTAGAGAGCATGGATCCATCCAGCCTTGTATCCATGGTTTAGGCTCGTGAAGGTGGCATAATGATATAGGGGATATATTACAACTTGGACTCCTTTGTACCACATGGTCATCATTTAAACTCCATGGTCACCATGTTGCTGATGCTGATGCTATCCCTTTTATGACTTCAGTATAGCCTTCTCATGGCTGTTTCCAGCAGACTAATGCACCATGTCACAAAACTCAGTTAATCTCAAATTGGTTTCTTGAACATGATGAGTTCACTATTCTGAGATGGCCTCCTCAGTCACCATATCTCAATCCAATGGAGCACCTCTGGGATGTGGTTGAGCAGGAGATTTGCAACATGGATCTGTAGCTGCAAATCTGCCTCAACTACACAATGCTATTATGTTAGTATGGACCAAAAACTCTGAGGAATGATTCAGTTACCTTTATCATCTTGTTAAATCTGTACCATGACGAATGAGTGTAGTCCTGAAGTCAAAAGTGGGAACCAACCTGGCACTACCAAAGTGTACCTAATGAAGTGGCCGGTGAGTGCATTTGTGCATGCATTTTTATATGTAAATTACCTGTTTTCTTTCTAAGGTAATTTGGAAAATATTGTATTTTTAAGTCTTTTAGCTTGTCAGTAAAAAGGAGTATAAAACGAATTCGACATTAGTTACTTGCACCTTTTTTCCACAAGATGGAGCCATGGGCAAAAATGTGTGGTGAAAATACACAGCTTCGAGTGCAAAAGGAGGCGGCATGTTGCTTTCCTTTATGTCCCACATACCCATAAATTATTTAACTGGAATATTCACGTTTCTGTTTAAATGTCATTATGAAATTATTGCCTGTCATTTAAACATCCGGAAGTAAACTCAGAACATTAACATCAGTTTGTTTTTTTGGAGGTTTTAGTCTTTTCTAAAGGCTCACTTGTATATCTTTGTAGGTAAAAGAGATTTTTGACTGCAGTTTTAAGTGAAAACACGTGTTTACATGTATATTGTAATTTATATAGCATCAAACTAAATTTAAATGCAAGAAATAGACCTTTGAGGAGCTGAGGCAGAAAAGGGTGTTAAACAGTCTTCATTATACCAATAAAAGACCAAATGCAAGGAAGTTCAGAAAGTGAAAGGAATAGGCAGGCAGAATGAGTTTTGAATCTGAGCGTAAATACTGACACAGTGTGAGTTCCCCTGACAATTACCGGAAGCTTGTTGAGAAGGGAGGAGGTCATAAAGGAAAAGGTTCTGCCCTGCCCATGTTTCAAAAGTGAGGAGAAACAACGGGTATTTATTTTTTGAATGAACAAACATAAACTCAAAAGAAGTGAGGGAACAGACACTGTTTACACATTTAACTGCTTCTAATCAGAAGTCAAATAGCTTTAATGCTACTTTATGTTACTTGGAAAGTACTTGTCATATTATTTTCAGGAAAGGCTGGTTTACCACATTCCAAACCTTTAGTGATCCTAGGTGACGCATTGTTCTGTATTAGCTAAGCAAATGTTAAATAATCAGGATAAACTCTAATTCAAACAACAACACATCAAGACAGACATGATGGTTAATATAACTTACATTAATACCAAAATGACTAGAATATTTCCATTTTTATAAAATTGAGTATATATGCATTAAATACAATTTGATGCTTGCACTTTTACTAAACCGTGGCATTATTACTTTGCTTAAAACTTTTAATTTATTTACTTTTTAAAATTCCCACCTAAGATGATCCTAAATTCAGTAGCAACTCCAAAGCTATAAGGCAATAAATAATATTTGGCTCTATTCATAAGATAATAAATGTCTTTTCCCTGTAATTCCAGTGGGATTCTAATCCAAAATTCATACACAGCGTAAATAAAAGCCTGACAACAATCAGCCAGGAAATGATGATCTTATTATAAGTGTTCTAATTCTAAATCATTTAAAAACTATAGAGTTGAAATATAGCCATGCTACATTAATTTTATTCTCAGTAGTTGGGCTGAGAATGTCTCGTGTTTGGTAACCCTTGAAAAATGTTGTCGGGTTGCCTTTTAATAACTGATGTGGCCTGTTCACTTTTCTTACCTCTGCTTGTGCTGCCTGTATTACTATTTTTAATGGTCTAACTTCTTCACTGAAGAGCAGAAAAACATGCTGAGCAAATCCCTACCTTGCTCTATACCATCCATAAGAGGGCAACAGAATCCATATTTTTATTATGCTACACTTTATGTTGTGTAAATAAAATGCAATTTCTTATTTTTCACCCTTTTTTTCAGTCCAAAATGGGAATAAGAAATACTTATTCCCATTTTGAACCTTTGAACTAAATCTACTAAATCTCCTGTTGTGCATCACCTTTAAACCGAGTGACAGAAATCACCGCAAAACTCTGTTTTTCTAAAGAAAATCGCAAATTACAAGTAAACCTCTAATGCAACTCTGGTAAAATGAAAGTGTATTGCCTTTTAATAACAGATATGAGATGATCTCTAAGAGGTCAACAATTTATTTTCCCCAGGTGACCTTTAAACTATATGTGAGATTGACAGAATGTATTTCTTATGTCTTTTTTGTTTACCTTTATTTAAATTGTTAAAAAAATAACCTGGAAAAATTTGAATATAATTAAAATCTTTCATTAAACAACAGACTAAATGAAAGTCTAAACTTTTGAGCACATTGAGGGACTTCAGAATCTCATATGTAAGTTTACTGGCCATGCCCGAAGGGAGAGGTGCTGCCAATCTGTCTGGTTGCTTAATAGCTACGTTAAATTAACATTACAAGAAGACTTTTACTATGCTTTCACAGCTGACTACTTTGGAGAAAAAAAATACATGTGCAGATTTTTGTGTCCACCTGCTGCATTATTGTCTTCATATGTTGTTACCAGATGGAATATCCATTCATCTAACTTAAGATGTCTGGAGTGGTCTAGCAGCATTTGGTTTGGTTTTAAAATGAATTAAAAGCAATAGGCCACATTTAAATAGAAATCAGATGTGTTTCTGCAATGATTTAGGAAAAAAACCCCAGTTTTACCATAAAACTAGTGCTCTACAGTAAGCCCTCTCATCTTTCCTGCTACTGATAGGTATTTGAAATCAAAGTGAGAACATGTGAGATGCTGTCCTGGTCAGTAGTCAAAGACACCGTGTTGTACCAAGAGCCAGCTGGAATGAGGCTTTAATGTTGGCTTTGCCTTTTTTTGTGGCCTTTGTGTGACTGAGAAAATGTGGGGCAGAAAATCCCTCTTCACTCTATCCATCTGATAACACACTGCAATCCAAGTCAACAGCAGTCCAATAACAACCCTGCCCTGCTCAAACGTTTGGGGTGTCCAAAAAACATTGCTGAACCGAGGACAAAGCAAGGGGAACTATCGCTGTGATAATAACTTATTCTTTTCATTCAAAAAAATATTGTTTCAACCCAATTCAAGATAAAATATTATCAGAGAAAAAAGGCGTGTCTTGCATAAAGTACATCTGATTTTGGTCTTTTTGCAATACTTACAGAAGCAAATATTTGACCCTCTTTAGAACAGTGGCTATACCTGTACAATGGAGGTGTCTAATTGTTCTTCTGAGATGACTGCTGAAAATATTGACTACTGAGATGCAGTGTGTTTGAAAGTGGGGGTGTGGGGCACACTGATTCTGGTCTTATCGGGTGAAAGTACACTTCATAAAACCTTCATTGCGGTTCCGTTAACAACGGAAAAGCACAATACTCTGAAATACTGATATCATATGTGTTGTAGTTCTACTTCACTACTAACAGTGTTTTGTGACACTTATTTTTTGCGTTTATCTACCTTGTAAAGGACATTGAAAAGTTTGTGCTTTAAACTTGACCACTTTATATTCTGCATATATTTATTACTGTCTTCATTCTGGCTTTGAACACATTAATCTGCTTTTGTTGTCTTTTGAAAGATTACCTTTGCCATAAAAAGGAAATGATCCTTCTAGTATGAAAAGAAAATCATTGTCTGTGTCCTTGAAACATCATGTAAAGAAGCCGAACAAAAGAGTTTAATGTATTATGGGTAGTCCATTACTTAACATATCTGTATATGAGAATACATCAACCACATACAGCAGTGATAGAAAATAACAATACAGCAAAAGTGAACATGTTCAAGCCCAGATTGTCTAAAACTGTAATTTTTCTTTTGCGTGTAATGCAATTCAGCCAAGATCACTTATTATTTCATGCGGTGACACTTGGTGGCACTCAAAGTAGAGCAATATTAGTGAAAAGCATGGTTGGTCTTGACAGGTAGAGCAATCAACTGGGTCAATAAAGAGTCAAGAACGGGAGTTACATTAATGGAAAGTGAAGAAGCTTCAGATTGCTCATATCTTTGATGCACCGTTACACTTTCTATTCCCCTTCATCTCAGCTGTATTCACAACCCTAACACAGTGTAAATAAACAAAGTGGAACACTTTAACGGAGACATGCATATGTATGAGATGTAAAATAATTTGATCCCTTTGAGCGTTTCCTTGTCAACTCTCAAAAGCAGCACATCAGTGTGTTTTTGTGTGTTTTCCACAACAAAAGTTTCCTTCCCTCTTGTCACAGGTGCCATCTCATTAGTGGTGAATCACTAAGCTGACATTTATGTTGTACCAAGTCACACAGCATCTCCTTTTTGCTGGGAGTCTGATATCACAGCAGAGCAATTCGGTGTTTGTTTAGCAGCCGTACGAGAGATTTCACACGCAGGAATCGCTCCACACACAGTTTAGTGCTTGTGATGGGGGTTGCAGGGTGCTGAAATAAAAAGGATGTGACAAAAAAATTCTTGTGAGAGCTGTAAAAGGAAAAAACAAACAAAAAACAAAAAACTTCCTAATATTAGAAACCGCTTCAAAACATTTAAACATACAAATGACTGAGATGATAAATATGAAACTAATACATAAGAATACTATCTTTTATTTCTAATGAAATGATCACAATGACAGGCAAAAATTAAACATTTTAAATAAAAAAATATATATAAAAAACAACAACAACAACAAAAAACCCAGTCAAAATATCAAAATTACCAAATGTTTTCCCCGCATGTTACTTGTGTTTTATGTACAGGCATCTTAAATTCATAACGGTTAATGAATGCCATTTTAGAATGGTCGTCTCATGTTTGCTCTACTTCACATGGAAAGCAATATTTCACAGAGTGGAGAAGGTTTTTTTTTGTGTGTTTTCTTTTTGTCATTTTGCTTTACAAAAGGAATTTAAAGTATGTAGGCCCAAAAGCATCACATCAGTCACACTGTAACCTCTAAACTGTCTATGTTTGAGGCCCTCTGGTGGTCTTTGATCACTACCTGGTGACATCAGATCTCCCATTCACCATAAAAAACATTCACTCCGGTCAAATGGCACATTTAAAGTAAAACCTCAGGACTTGATCGCTTGACCTTGACCTCTGCACTGATGGGATTTGATGGCTCTGTTATGCTTTTGGGGCCTGTTTTGGTGAAATGGGTTCCTTGGTCCCCCTAGTGTGAAGGATCCTTGTAAATAAACACAGAATTTGACTCCCTGTGATGAAACACATGTAGGAGGATAACTGCCTCCGCCCTTAGGCCATGAGCGGTCACTGAATGATTTCATCAGCATGAAAGTTATGTGCCATACCTACCCTGCCATCCGTCCTGCATCAGCTGGCCTAAAAGTTGTTCTGGGAAAATTTGATAGCCTGATACTTTCCCAAAACACTTCCCAAAACTGGATTTTCTTTCATTTGTCACTATCTTTAGGCAAAGAAAACAGACAAATTACTCCATCAGTGAACATCTAATGTCTTGTAGTAATTACAGTAATTTTTGCTAAGTAGTCATCATCATGTGACAATGAACTAATTCAAAAAGGTAGACAACTTTATGTTTTTTTGGGGTGAGAGACTTTATGAGATGTTTAGTGACTGCATCTTTAGCCCAGTGGGCATTTCAGACACTGTGCAGTGCAACCCGTCACTGCTGCTCTCAATCTGCTGACGGTAATTTCCTATCCATTACACTTTCAGAGTGCTTATACAAATAATAAACCCAAACTGAGTGCATATGGTCTTTTTCACAGCAGACATAGTAGGAAATATTAGGAAAAGCATAGACGTTCTTCAACATTAATGATGGCGCTAATGTATTCAAATGCGTAATGGTCCTGAACATAAAGCGGCTAGAATAGAATTCAGCTGTCATAACAGCATTTTTTTTTATATACCTGCTCCTTTGATTTGGCTTAAAGTACAATCAGGTTGGATGGGTTGTGAATTCCTCACACAGCGATACTGTGATTTTTTTTTTCTGTTTGTATGCTTTTTGGATAGCACGCATCCAAAAAGCATACACATCAGACACAGATTGGATAATTTAGACATTATTTGAATTGTACAACCATTCCGACAACTTCTGGATTTCCTGCAGCAGTGGTCTTTTCACAAAAATATTATTGTTCTTTAGCAAGTCACTGGAATACCAAGTGCCACTTGGGCTTGCAAGCTGCATCTGCTTGCAATCCCAAGTGTCTGCCATGTTTGTCTCAGTTAAATAAATATTGCCAAAGTTTGACCTTAGTTTAGTTAAAGCATATAGATGATGATGGTTGATTTAACAGTTGTAACATGTCTGATTGTTCTATTACTATATCATATGTTATATATCATGGTATTTTGTAAAATTGTAATTGCACAATATCCTATACATGGAGATTTTTAATAAACTGGACATTACAAAAGATGCCAAAGGATTACACAGAAACACCCTACCGCCAAACACCTTGCAACACAATTATTTTCATGACTCAAAACAAAGTCCTCTTGCTGCAGCAAGATGCACATCAAATAGAAGTCTTGATTAACCAGATATTTGTATTACCTGTCATAATTGGCCTGCATGTTGATAAAGAGCACTCTATTGGCCTATGTGGTGAGATTGACCTGAAGCAAGCCTATACAGCCTATACAGTTACAGTCTTTATGTTTCATATGGGACTGAAGGGTCCTTTTGAGATATTAAAGTTACGCACTCTCACATTCGGACTTAGATATGTGCATCACTTAAGGACCTTGTGATGCTCCTGCAGGGGCTCCTGAGCAGACCGTGCACCCTGCTTTGGGAAGCTCTGCAGCAGCAGCTCAGCCTCCTCCCTCCAGGCCCCGCCCCCAGATGAAGCCCTCAGTAAAAAGGCAGACAGATAGTAGTAAACTGTTAGAAACTTTGAGCGAGTGCGGTTGTTTGAACACAAAGTGATAAAATATCCCGTCGACATTGTTCTCTGTGATTTTTTTTTATCTACTACTTAAAAAATAACTGCGTGAATGTGCAGCCGAAATAACGACTTTGATATCCGCATCCAGCGCTGCGACCTCAACTTCAACCAAGTTTACTTGGGCATTTTCTGAAGACTCTGCATGGTATGTCCGCTTGTTTTCAAGACCTAAGGCTTTGACTAGATAACGCTTAGCTTTTGTCCAGAAGATAAGGTTTATGTAAAGAATGTCAGGCAGCACTGTGGGTGTGAATCCCTTGAAAATGCTGTTTACAGTTACAGTGTACTTAGCCGCTCAAAACTCCAGCAGAACATCTGTCATGATTCCGCTGACATGCTCTCCTGCTTTCTCCCGCTGTTGTTGAAGCTACGGGCTAACAGCACAGAGCTCTTGCTTAAATTCTCTTTGTTGCTGGTTTGGTTGTGTTTCATAAGAAAGCTGCTTTAAAGAAAAACACAGGTAAACATTGAGTGAAGTATTCCCTTCAGAGTGACAACAGCACGATACTGTGTGTGCGCGCGCGCGCACGGGTGTGCTTTCTCTTCTCGCCCGCGTGCTTCTGCGGGCACAAACGTGACTGACAGTGCAAGAAGTTTAGAGAAAAACTTAAGAGTGTAATCACGTGTCTTTACACTGGATTAAAATGGACAGGACTACTGTGGCAGTCACGGTGTACTTGTATGTTATGGTTGCTCATGCTTAGGATGTTTTCTCTATTCTTTTAGCTTCTCTCCAGCCTCTCCGACTCCTTCTCACAGTTCACAGACATGCCTTTTAGGTTAGGCTGATGATTCTAAATTGTCCATAAGTGTGATTGTTTGTTTATCTTTCTCTGTGCTTGTTTATCGCCCTGTGATGGACTGGCAATCCCTCCCTCTCAGTGTCGGCTGGCATAGACTCCAGCCCCCTTCTGTGCTACATTGGATACGGATTAATGAAAATGAAATGGAAAAATGGATGGATGTTTACATAAATAGATGGTACATTTTGTAAGCCATCTTTTAAGTTTTAAGACCAGTCTGGAGATAAGATCGCCAGTGCTGTCATAAAAATATGTTTTTAAAATGTTTTGTTGATAGAATATTCAAGTCTGTTAAAGTTTTTGTTAACCAAGTGGCTGAAAATTCATTAATTATAGTAAAACAGAGTTATTGCTTTTACTCTGTGCCAACCGATTGTGTTTACATGCCACCCACCAAAGGCCCATTTCAATGCAGGATAAACCCTGATACTGTCTAAGGGGAAAATGAGACATTGTGACATTTTATCTGTAACATTAATACATTAACAGGGGAATACAGTCTCAGATCAAAACTGAGAAAAGTCTGCCAGCTGCTATACAGAAGCAGTTGCGGCTTACTTTACCAGCTCTATTTGATTAGCAACAAAAATATAGCTTGATGTCACCAAAAACATACAGTACAAACTACCGCAGACAGTTTTGCACAACCTTAAGACAATCTTAAAATTTTGAGGGGTATCGGTATTGACTTTGAAATTGCAGTCTCGTGACAGTCCATAGACACTGAAAGTGCAGAAGAGCTCACTATAGTTCTTTCAGAAGCTCATATGACCACATCGTTTTCAAAATGACTTATGAGTATTAATCCTGAGTATCTTACTCATACACCACAAGATGCACTATATAACACAGACCTCAGCCTTTGTGTTATTGCTCTCTTCGCGCATGGCTTTGCGATTACAGGAACCCTGTAAATGCCCTTGGGTCTTGACATCGCCTAACTGCAGCGTATGCATACGTGATGACACAGATATAAGCCAGGCCTTTAACACTTAACTGACCACAAGTATTCAGCTTGGTTTCACTGATGTTCAGTACGTTCAGTTTGGGGTCTGCATGCTATAATGTACTTTCCAGATTCTCTTTGAGAGAAATACTTTGCTCGGCTTAGACAGTCAGGGTTGAGAAGAAGTCACATGAGGTGATTTGAGTTGTTGCTGCAACAAAACCATCACCATAGCATAGAGTTAAAACCTTCTCCAACCCAAAACAGCTTTAAAAGGCTATGACTAAATCTTTTGCACATAGGTTTTTAGAAGCTGTTTTACCACCAGCTTTCTTAGTATTCTAACCCAGTGCAAGTGTGATCCCAACCATAGATACATCAAAAGAGCTACACACTGTTTTACGTAAAGAAAGTCTCCTTTGATTTGGTCTTTGCTTCCCAAAAGGTATTGCAACACAGTTTAGCTTTGTTTAGTCAGTAAGGAGATGAAGGTCAAGGAGCGGCATAAATCAAACAGAGCGCTCGGGTTCTCACTGACAAGCTGAAAGTGTAATATTTGTCATGATGTTCCAAAATGACTTCCCAGCCCTTGCAGCTGCCACACAGTGAAAGGCCCTTTTGTCCTGTGCAAGCTGCTTGCACTGCAGAGTGATGCACCTCAGTACTTTGTGCATCACTTCCTATATACACTGTATAGCTCACCACAGGTTATATAGATGCACATGTGTTTCTTCCACACAGCTCTATACTAGTTATAGACAGTGCCTTTAAAGTGTGAGCACCTGCAGTTCTTGTTACAACACTTCTAACATGACAGCAGTTTCACTTTTCTTGCCACAAAGAGTCAGACATCACTCAGAGAAGAAATTTGCACAACTTTTTCTGCGGACCATATCTTTCTAGAGACATGTTTTGATTGCATCTACAGAACATACCCACGTAATAACTGAGAATTAGAAAGAGCTAAAAGGATTCTTCGGAACACGTTAAATCTTTCAGAAGTCCACGTTTTAATCTTGATTTAGCCTTTGAAAAGAGCTGGATTATTGGAAATGGAAAAGCTTGCTTGCTTTCATTTGGATATATTAGGTTCCAGTGTACTGTTTTTATTAATACTTGTCAGAATGTAAGAACAGCATGCCCATGTGTTCCTTATCTGCTTTGCTGCTCTGAAGTTGTTCTGCGCTTCTCTGGTCTGACTCTTATAATGCACTGTTTTGAAGGCATCTTTCTGCTGCTGATACTGGAATTTATAACCTTGATAAAAATGCATTAAAATATACTTGTAATAGCCGTGTCTGCGGCTGCAGATATCACACAGTTGTTTTTGCAAGATGGACTTCATGGTCAAAGGCACCTGCTCGTCTGAGCCTAAATCCTGACTCAATCATTCCTGCCTCATTCATTTTTTCTGTAAAAAGAAAAAGGACCAAGTATGATTACAATTATACTGCTAAATCAAAGATTTTATCAAAATCAATAAAAAACTTAAAATTAATTCTTAATTATTGCAAAAGAATTTACAAAATATAATGATTCTACATTTCAGGATGTGTTTAAATATATTTGTCAAAAAGCATCTAAGCTGCAAGCGTCTTATAACGGGTTTTTCCCAAAGGTAGTAGCTGACATCTGTGGGGTGGTTTTGCCAGCAGACACACTGACATTGCACGCTACTTAGTCCTTTTTGACAGCCTTATATGGCCAGTGGATGTTACTTTTACCCTTTTCTTTCATAAGCTTATTTGTCCACTTGCACGTTAACTGTCTGTAGCTTTGCAACAGTTAACACTTGGGAAATGCGTTTGCGTTGTTCGGTTCGTTTAAACTGAAAAGTGAAACCTAGACAGGTGACCTTTTTGATTGATTCAGACTAGAAATCAGTTTTGGTTTCTTGTTTTTTCCGCCACTCTTGAGTCATTGGCACTGCTTACATACTCCACCACCTTTGCCACGGAAGGAAGGGGAATGTGGTTATAGTGGCAGAATTTATTTTTTCAGTTTTATCAACTAGAATAAAACTATTTAATTTTTCACTGTACAAAAATCACTTTCATAATTAAACTTTTCCTTTCTATGCAAGATGATTAGGACTTTTCCTTCTGCCACTTTCTGAGAGAAACTCTGTAAAATTCTGGATATTCTTTGTTTCTAAATGTACATGAATTTAATTTTTCCCCTTGTCATAGCCATCACTGTTTACACTTAGATTAAGTTAAAGCTTCAGTCAGGGTCATGGTAATTAGTGCGGTGGTACTAAGCTGCTTACTCAAGACCCCACTAGAGTTTCCTGAGTCTTTAAATTAAAGTGTGTTAATAACCTGTGGCATGTTCTGGACTGTTAACACCCAGCAAGTCAGTCATCCATCCCAAACTACTTGCACACCCTAACAGGCTTGGAAGGTGTGTGCAGCATGGTCCTTTGAAGCATGCATAACCTCCAATTAACCCTCCCAGATTAATCCCCTGGTCTCCTAAGTGCCTCTCTTCTTGTCTCATCTCATCACTCCCACGCTGTATATTAAGCAGAGCCCAGTTCCCTGCTGTTTGTAAATGCTTTAATTGAACCTGCTTCTTCTGGTTGACATCTTTTATTTTTGTTCACTTGCAGCTGGAGCCTGAACGTGGCTTTCTGCAGACCCATTCTCAAGAAGGGAAACCTTTGTGAGACGCTGAAGAACGGCCAGTTCATCCACTTTTATCATACTGGAATCTGCAGAATAATAAAATGGCTACAAGGTCCCATATTCCCTTGATGCTTCTTGCAATATGTTGCCTGGCATCTGCAGGTATGTTTATTTCATTTCAAGCCACTTCCTATGCTTTTCGTGTGAGACTAGGTGTTATCAGATATATGTGTGTTTGTTTGTATCTATATAAGTGGTTGGGCCGGAAGAGCAAAAACGTCTCCTGAACCAAAGTTTGCTTCATACTTCAGTTTGTGAACCATGATTTTAGTTTATAGTGTTAGAGGAGATGAATAATCAAAAATAAACCCTGATAATTTACTTGTTACTTGAAAGTGCTTCATTTAGCTCGGCGTTAACAACTCCAGTATGGTTTTGGAAGATGGAACTTATTAATTATTCTGAACGTTTGGCTCTGCTTCAGAATTGTTGTAATCATACAAACTTTGCAAAAATCCTTATGGTGTTATGGTGTTGAAACATTGTGGTGTCAAAATGTTGCCTATGCTATGGGATTTTCCACCCTTCTCCCAGCATGCCTTTCTAGACAGTGCTTGTCAGAGTCATGAGTAAGGGGGATTTATACTAAAGAAAGTGCTGACAAGTTCGATCTGAGAATACAAAACACTCAGCAGGCCTACGTGTATCTTTCAGATTGGGTGGAATGAGACTCAGATTCTGCCAAGTACTCCGTAATTCACAGCAGTGATACAGACAAACCAAAGAGAGAGAAAATAGCCAAGTAAACTGCTACACAGGTGGTTGTATGTGCTACAGGTTGACAGTTTTTGAAAACTCGAGAGGTTGTCGAAAAACTTCGCAGAAAACACTCGACAAAGTCTTGGCTTCTCATTTTAACTTCTTCTCCCCCTATATCAGCCCTTATGTGGTGATATTATCTGAGTGGTGACACCTATTGTTCGGAAAATACTGCAGCAGCTTCCTGCGCCGTAACCATGGGTATAAATACAAGTTTCTCTGAAACGTGGGTATACTGCGGCCTTTAGACTTCCTAAAACAGTCCTGCCACACAGAGAGTCAAGTCTCTGCAGTCATATCAGCTCTTTGAGACTTTGCTTTGGTACACTTGAGCAGTACAAAGGGGAAAAAAGGCATTATCATGCTAACATGCACACACTGACAATTATAATAGTCTGATATTAAAAGGTTACATTTATCTTTTTCTCTTAGCAATTTTGCTGCTTTTAAAAAAAAACCTCTGTACATTCTGCATGTTGTTTTAAGATAGAGCAAAGTCTCATATGAATATTGATGGATGAATACTCAAAGAGGATCAGCAAAATATATAGAGTACATCATGAGGGGGCAAGAATGCGTGTGATGATTTTATTCTCACCTAAAAAAGCATCTGCTGGTGGTGATGTCTCCTGGGCAATTCCTAGATGTGGTGTTCTGATCATGTCCAACTGGGAGGAGTCCCAGGGAAGAGCAAGGGCATGCTGGAGAGATTAAATCTCTGTAGAGATGTTATCTCTTGGTGATGACTCAGTGTTTCTCCAGAAGAGCTGGAGAGTGGTGTAGGAATCTCTTTTTAGACTGCTGTCTGGACCAGACCTGGATGGCAGAGGATGGATGCACGGATCTATGAAGACATCAGAATAAACCCCCTTGAAAGCATAAAAACTTGTCAGTTTCACAGGTGTGGAGAAACTGGAATGGCAATTTAGCAACTGGTAGCCAGTAACTGAAAACCAGAATATTTTAAAACATTTATAGACCAAATTTTAAAAAAAAATCGAATCCACCATGGATCTTCCTCTGGGGAACATGAATGTCTTTAGCAGATTTTGTGTCGATCACTTTGTAAAATGTAGAGAAATTGGATATTAGAGTTTCTGTGAATTTCGCTAAAACCTATTTGCAGTCTCAGATCCATCACGATTTATCTTTATTAATGAAGATAAAGTGCCATGAATATTTGCACCACTTTTGTTCCTCAATATCCAAATAGGATGCAAGAAAACTGCATATGCGTAGAAATTCAAGGGAATAAAACAATCCTAATAGCATTAAACTAAAAACCTCTGGTCCAGTATTATCTGTACCAAATTTCATGCCAGTCCCTTGAAAATTGTTCAGAGAATTGTTGATGTTCTGTTTCGGGTGAGTAGTCTGCGATTGTGGCCACATCTGTGTTGACTAGAAGTGGGTGGAGTTTCAAGTAGTTGTGGAGTTGGCCATGAGAGGTAATTAGAGGAACTTTCGTTGCTTTTACATCTACACTGGCTGCAAAGTTCAACTGTGGGTTTCTTTGTTTGGTAAATTGAACAAATCCCATAGTGTACTGACCCCATCCTGACACTTAGCCCTACAGTTTGAGGACAAATCTGTCACGCTGACTTGAAAGGGGCACAAACCATATTCAGATTCAAGTGTTCATTCCGTTTGGTCTCTTTTTTAGAATGTAAGATGTCCTGTTTACAGAAAGCAGTTTCACAATGCACTGCTCTCGACTTGAACTCACTCCAGATTTAGACTGCAGTATCCCGTTTTGTTTTTCTGTGGCAGCACAGGAATAATGTGCGGTTCGCATTTTTCATAGTTTCAGTCTGATTGCCGCCATAGGTAATTATTGTAAAAGTTCTTCTCTTATTCTCTGGGGGCTTGAACCGCACTCCAGAGAGCTGACTCTTACTCAGACAATAGCAAGTTAGTGAATATGTGTTGAGGGTAGAGCAAGCATAACTTCTGCCACAATGCCAGGATCTCCAACACAATGAAGTCCCATACGAAGTTTTCCTCTAAATTCTTCCTCACACGGCAAGACGCATTGTTATACTAAGTCACAAGGGACAGATATTTACAGTTTGACAACCAAATGCCCTTTCCTCCAAAGAGTATTGGCAGTGACTGTATTCACTGATTTACTGGCAAATGATTTGTTTTTTTTGGGGGGGGGGTTGTTTTCTATCATTTAAGGGAAAACGTATGCCAAATAGCACATTCAGAACATTTTTTCCTTCCTTTTTGCTTTCTGCCAAATATTTTTTAAAACTGCCACTGAGAAGCTTATCAGTTTTTCTTTACTCCAAACCATATCACGGACACTCCACACCACATCAGCCTCTTTCTTTCACCTCTCTCTCTTTTACTGTCTATTCCTACTATCGCACAGCATCTGTGTAAACAGTCACATCTGCCCTTAAACTTGTCAGGAGTGCTCTTACGTAATGTTTAGATTAGTCTGCAATGAGTCTTCTTTCAGCGTAATGCAATCCAGGTTCTGAGCCTCCCATAACTCTTAAAAGTCAAACTGAGAGCACCTTGATGTCCATATTTCAATTCTGTGCTCTGCTGCTTCACTCTGCTGTTTATAAGTTGTTGTTTTTTTTCTCCCTCAATATGATCGCTGCCATTTTGCGGTTGCGCCTCCTAAGCATGCCATAATGGTAATTTTGTGAAGGATATATTAGGGAGATTGGGGCTGACTGTGGATTTTACAGTGAAATAAAGTCTTTCAGGAGCCACGCCAGATATTAATTTGAGACAGTTGCCAAAAACAGCTCCGGCAGGATGCTGGTTACAGTGGAGGCACAAGGCCGGGGTGTTGGCTCACTGAAAAACACACCAGCGTTATTGAGTGCAATAGCACTTTCTCTCTTATTGTCTATCCTGATTTTACTTATGAGGTGGCTTGATGGATGACCAAGCTACTAGTGCAAATTTGTCTCCAGCGATTCATTGTAGACTGTTAAACAAAACGAGAGAGAATTTGGAGCTGTGCTCATATTCAGAGTGCATATGTTCGCTTTCAGCTTTACATTCGAGTAAACAACTTCTCTCAGTCTGCATTTTTCTGTACTCCTGGCAGACGCGAGTCACTGCGGTGCCAAAAGTGGTTGTAACTTTTTTTTTCTCTCCACAGTTGAGCAAAAGGTTTGTCTGTGTATCCACGGTGCTTTCTTAGGGCCAGCAAAAGTCAGGACTGCCAGAGAGCATTGTGCAACCGCTGTAATCTGAGAGGTGGGGTAGCCAGGGGGAGGAGAGAAGTAAGCGCAGCCGTGGGTCGTCTGGTCCAAATCGACACACTCCACACACGCACGGCGTGCCAAACCGACAAAGTCCCTTCCAGCATGCTAAACCAGATGTGGCCCAGTGATTCATGCGAGGAGCTGGAGCAGCGCAGCGCAGAGGCAGTGTGCTGCTACGCTGAGTGGTTGGGATGTTTACATAGCAACGGGTGTCCTGAGTCTGTCTAATTACAGATCTGCTCTCCCCCATGGTGAAGCCTTTATCTTAACAGTGCTGTCAAGTAGGAGTCAGTCATTGCGGCCCTGTGTGTTTATAGCTTTTACTTATGAATGAAGGGAACCGCAGTATTACCCAGTTTAATTAACAGTGTAAAGTGTGTAAAGTGATTGATGGAGTATTTAGTTTGATTTACTAACTCATATACTAGCTTTTTTGAAAGCAGACTCTCACCAACACATGGAAGAGTGCCTAAGTGAAGTGCAGCAGACAAGTTTCTACAGACACAAGATCTTCTATGTCTGTCATTTCTTATCAGCATCCCGTTAAGAGGATGCTTACGTAAATCTGAAGGAGTCAACCAAATCCCGCCCCCAACCTTCTCTCTTCCCCTCTCTCGCTCTCACTCTCTCCATAGTTCCAGTAAGCAGGCGTGTAAATAATTTTGGTCAGAGCCAGTAATGGGAGACAGCTGGGGTGATCGTGCGCTTTCCATTGTGTTTAACAGCCCCGTGGAAAAAAAAAAAAAAAAAAGGAGAGTAAGAGTAAGAAAGTTATGTGGAGTGTGACTTCATTGAAGAATGAGAGCGTAATAGTAAAAAATTGGACTCCCTCTGTTCTGATAACCTACGGAAGCAGCAAGAAAAAACATTTTGGGCTATCACATTATAATGTTTGGTTTATAAGTGTAGTTTCATCACTTTGCAAAGATGCCAAATTTGGGCGTATGACTCAAAAAATCCTGATATGGGATGCAAAGTGAAGGCCTCCAGGTTGTGTCTTTCAACAGACTCACCCCTCCTGGGGCCTCACCTTCCCCACTCCTTTTCCACCAGATGAGTCCTGATGAAAGACCATGTCGCAGCTTTGGAATAATCCCTTGGAAAACAAGG